CTTTATTTAAACATAGTATAAACACATATCCTTATCAAATATAGCTATACAGTTTATCATAATGATTTATGTGCCAAAATTTAACCAGTTTCTTATTGCTGTATACCTGCTATTCTCAATTACAAACAACACTACAAAAGAATCCTTAAACATAAATCTGTATATATAGGTCTCTATGAAGCACTTCTTTGGTTATATAAAACTTACTAGTCTACCACTTAATGCAAAATTCAAAAAGTTGGGTGCCTTGAAGGGGCCAGTAAGATGGTTCAGCAGGAAAAGACACTTGCCATGAATGCCGGGAGAACAGAGTTCAATCCCTGGAACTCACATAAAGGAAAGGGAGAAGTGACTCTACAAAGTTGACCTCTGGCCACCACAGATGTGCCATGGCATGTGGACAAACACATATTTAGCACACACCCAAATAGTAATTTTGTTTTTTTAAGTTTAAGAAATGATACTAAATTAATTTAAAAGCCTATCAACATTTTGCTGTAAATGAGAAAATTCAGTTCTGCTTTCCTTATAACATTTTACAACTATTTTAAAAATGAATGACATGTAGTATAAAGCTGACAACAGCATTAAATAAAAATAAAAGGTGAACTTCTTTGTCCTACCTCCCCCAAAGCCTAACTGAAATAAGAGCCCACAATAAGGGGACAAGCAAGGAAGAAAGGCCAAATAATGGTATGTTCTTGAACTCATTACTACTAAGACCACAGCAGTTGGATCCTGCAGGAAGCCCTTTTGAAACTGCAAAACACGGGCTAAAGTGATTGCCAGCAGTTAAGAGCGCTGGCTGCTCTTGCAGAGGACCTGGATTCGATTCCCAGCACCCACATGGCAGCTAACAACCATCTGCAACTCCAGTTCTAGGGGATCCAACACCCTCTTCTGACCTCCGTGGGCATCGCACAATACAGGTGCACCTAGTTACATGAAGGCAATACACACATATACAAAAAATAAAAATATATATATTTTTTTAATTCAAAAGATGCTCATGCCCTAACAAACAGGAGACTGGGATGCTCATCCACCAATTCCTCAAGAATGTTGCCTAAGAGGCATTAACTCCCAGTGTTGCATTATACCTCTATACTGGCTGAGTCAGTTCTTGAGGTAAACAACCTTGAAAGAGGTAGAGGGGAAGGGGAGCAATCTCAGAGCTCAAGCATTTAAAGTAGGACCTTATGTATGCAGACAGTCTATTCATCCACTGCAGTTGAAATCAGAGTAAGCCAACCAGATCCAACTCTGAGCGTGAAGGCACCTGCCCCGGCTACACTATCCTAGCCAACCTGAGCATATTAAACTCCTGGCTCACCCTACACAGCCATCTCATTTCATCTGACCTGATTTTCTTTCTCTAGGCAATGCTACTATACCAGTGGTGGGGTAATATGAGGTCTTAAAGGTGAGTCTATCATACTCACTTGTCATTTCTCTTTAACTGATTCATTAACACCCTTTTAATTTTACATACAGCTTCACAATTAGGCAATAGTTCTTCTAAGAACGTAAGTTATGTCTGACTCTTTCCCACTTCCTATAATGCCGTCAACATTGTTAGATGAAGCTAATAAACTTCATTGTTAGATGAAGCTAAGTGTCACTGTCAAGTTCTATTTCCTCAAGGACTATGTTTACGATTATTTCAAACTCACTGAAAGCATGTAGTTCGGTGGTAGAATATTTTCCTAGCATGCAGTAGATGCTGGGTTAGAGGCACCCCACAAAAACACTGGAAGTAAAACAGCAGTACACACCACATTTCATATTTTCAGGAATTGCTAAGTAAATGCTAAAAACACATTAAATCAACAGGAACATTAGAATTGACAATATCAACAGGGCTAAAATTATTTAAAGGTAATTTTTTAACTTTTTCAGATTTACAAAATGAAGATTAATTCACATATAAAACTGTCAAATAAAGGATATTTAAACAAATATAAGTGAAAGAACAATAAATGGCCAAGCACGGTAAATGTGAAAAATGGTATTATGGAGAGAGACATATCATTAAGGGAACTTACTGCTTGGTTTCTCTTCACTGAAGCAATACAAATTAAGCATGTCATAGCCCCTGCTTGAAAAGCTTCATGTAGGTACTGTTTCGTTCGCTCCAATTCATGGATATCTCCATCTTGAAATTTAAAAGTTGAAAATGTCATTTTAAGTCATATTTGAAAACAACATATACCCACCAATGATCACATTATGTGACAAATGTCAAGCAATTTTAACTGCTCAAAATATAACTAAAAAACTCAAAATTTAGCAAAGGGAAAAAAGTACCCCATGACCTGTCAAGAGGCTACAAAGCCCGTGAATTCACAGCACTTCAGCTCTTCAGCAGCACACAATTACTTTTCTTCTGCTTAAAGTCCTTAGCAAACATGGTGGGGGCAGAACCACAGCAAGAACACTAATATGCAAAGTAATAAGGGAATGCATAGAAAGCTGAAACAAAAAGTTAAAACTAAGGAGGACAGTTTAGCACTGGGGAGAAGGGTCAGTACACAATGTATTCTTAACAAAAACTTGTTAAATGAAAAGATGCTCAGTTTATTACAGAACAATAATCATTTTCATTAAATTATGTTCACTAATTCTGCTTTTTTAAAGTATTATAAGCTTTCAGCACTGGAGAGATGGTTAAGAACACTGGCTGTTCTTGCAGAAGACTGGGGTTCGAATCCCAGCACCCACATGGCAGCTAACAACTGTCCTATCCCTAACTCCATTTCCAGCAGATCTGATAGCCTCTTCTGTCCTCCGCAGGCATTGCACAACACGGGTGCACTTACCTACATGCAGGCAATACACGCATACACATAAAAATAATAAAATATATTTTAAAAAGTATTATAAGCCGGGCATGGTGGTGTATGTCTGTAGTCCCAGCACTTGGGAGGCAGAGGCAGGCGGATCTCTGTGAGTTCAAGGCCAGCCTGGTCTACACATATTATAAGCTTTTAAGAAAAAATTACTAGACTGTATTTTCTTTAAGCAAGTACAGAGTATTTATTCACTAAGCTCTACATTGTGAACATTTCCATACAATTAAAAGAACTATTATTACCTTGGTGTCAACATGGGAAATGTGAGACACAGAACAATTCAGTGACCTCAGTTGGACTACTAAGTGAGTCCTCCAATCCCTATCTTGAGCTTCATTGAGACGTTATGAAGAAAGATCCGAAACCAGGTAATAGAATTAAAGAAAAAGTACAAATGACACCCAGAAGGCAGCAACTCAAGACACTTTAGTGTAAGAAAAATAAGCTTACATGTCTTCAGTACAACTACAAAAATGGTTCAACACTGACTGACAGAGTCACCAAAGAAAGTAGGTCAATAATATAAGCTTACAGTAAGGATGGAATTTATCATGATAAAAATCTAGTTCAAACTAAAATGCGTTTCCAGAAACAAAAGTTAAACAAATAAGAAACTTGGTTAGTTCTATACTTTCTAAGTAAACACATCACTTAGAAAAGTTGGCCCTACCATAGAAATAAATGTCATTTAAGGTGTTAAAACAAATACATGTTAAGCACTCTCGAATTAGTAAATGACTAAAAAGAAATGTTTTATTTTAAATAGGCATCTAAGTTTCTAAAACATCCTTAAACAAAATTAATAATTATATTCAGTATGCCTATTTTGCTTTCCAACACAGCTGGTTTTAAAAATATTTAATAATTTAAATTTCATCTAACAGCTAATTTATATAATTTAAATTTGAGAATATAAAGGAAAAGCATCTCATAAATTAAAGTCTAAGTTTATCTTTACAGAATATATGCAGCATTTCTTTGAAACCTGTACCAAAGTTTGGCTACAGCACTGAAGTGCACAGTCCAGTACGTCACAGTGGATAACACGGCATGGAAGTAGTACATTCTAAAACCACCACCGAGGAGACTGAGGCTTCAAGACTGGAATGAACAGAAGTACCAATAAAAGGCAGTTACAGAAAAAAAGAGAACTATAACCTTGAACATTATCTAATGTTTCTCAGTTTTCTTACCTGCCAAATAATAGTAACTGTAGCTATTACAGCCTGAAATATGTGAAGACGGGATGCAGGGAGAAAATGACAAATTTAATAAATTATACAGTGGGGAGGCTGAGTGAGAAGGGCCATGAGTTTGAGGTGAACCTAGGTTACACAGCAAGTTCCAGGCCAGGCAAAGTTACATGACAAGATCCTGTCTCAAAAGTAAATAAATATTTTTTAAATTTAGGAAATAAAATCTGGAGGCTTTGGTGACAATTGTGTTACATATATGTATATGTGCCCTGTATGTGACATCTCTGCTCCCATATTTCTGGGTTAGGACAACTGGAGTGCTACTGGGGTAAGAATAAACTAAGAGGTCAGTCATCTTTGAATGTAAACATAAAGTATCTATAAACATAAAGTATCTATAAACATAAAGTATCTATGGGTAAAGATAGACTAACTCATTCCATGCAAGTTTGATGTTGAGAGAAGAATCACAAAGACTAGGCCCAGATCATTTAGAACTCCTTGGTAAAGTACTAGTATTCAATTCACTAATTTAAGAGGGAAGCTGTCTTAATACTCTGGCATTTATTATTCTTAAATCAAGTGTTCAAATTTCCTTAACTTGTTAAATACAAAGTGAGGAACGTACAGGAATGAGAATCAAAATGTTAATAGATTTGATACAAAAAATTACAAAGAAAACTGTATCTAAAATGCATAAAGTGCAAGCCAGGTGTGGTACCACCTGCCTTTAATCCCAGTACAGCAGAGGCAGGCATATCTTTGTGAGATTGAGGCTAAACCTGGTCTACATAGAGAGTTCCAGGCCGGTTGGAGCTACAGGGAAATGCCATTCCCCCCACCAAAAAAAATTCATAAACCATGCAAATAATTTTTCTACACACTAGAAGAGAACTGTGTTATATTACCAGATACAATATTTAAGAGTAAAACATCTCTCTACTTAGAATGGCTTAAGTGAGGTCCACTTGGAGCACAACACCCATGATTACTATCTATGAATTCATCTAGAAGCAAGAAACCCTCTAACATTAAAGTCTTCATCAGCTTTTATCTTGCTAAGCTTGATATTTAAGCTAAATTTCTTAATTCCTTAGGCGATTGAGCAAACTTCTTAGACAACGTGTGCTCTCATTGTGCCTACAGGCAACTAACAAACACCAAAGTGGTGCGATGGGAGGGGAAGGGGAAAGCTACATGAGTCTGTGAAGACTTGACTAACTCTCATGTTCTTAAATTACTTCTCCAAATAATCTCTGCTAGAATTGATTCTGTTGTACTAAAGCCTGACATCACTGCCCTTACTGTTCTCAGTAAAGCACAATGTAATCAGCAAGGAGTCAGCAGAAAAGAGTGGTGTGGTTTTACGATCTAAGGCCTCTGACTACAGGAAGAAATCTTTTAAAAAGACAAGGAGAGAGAGAGAAAAGAAGCTAAGGTGGGAAGCCTCGAATAATCACACAAACATACTAGGCATTACAACAAATAGCACATGCCACGTGACGAGCACTATGGACTATTTGTTCTAATCACTCCAAAATATTTACTATCACTACACTCATTTCAGGAAATAAGAGATCCTGAGATGTTAATGTCAAGTAAAGCTAAAATCCAAATTTCAGTTTTCTGACAATAAGTCAATGTCCTTTTAAGCACTTCTATGGTACTAATTTTTCTTCCATAAATATACCTAAGAACAGCAGTCTGCTCTACCTCAGAATTGTTCTGCTTTTACACAGAAAATACAATTAGCCAATAAAGGTTCAAAAGGTGAGCAAATTAAGGTAAGTAAATTAAGTTTAAGTCCAGCTCTGCCATTTACTAATTGTGTAATTCTAGAAGAATCTACTCCTATGAAGAGTTATTTCCTACAAAATTTCTATGGTTTTTCCCTAGCTCTAACAAGATGCTAAAGTGAACCACTGAACCCAACTATAAACATGTGTAACTAACATGAGACTATGTAAATAACATGAAATAAACTTACAAATGCCAATGATATATTCAAGAGTGTTTTAATGACTTAAGTATAAAACATGAAAGTTTAAGGGTATGTATACTCATTTTTGAAATCATCTATTTTAACAACTATACATACCAGTATCACTTTGGCCCTCTCTCATGTCAAAAGCTTTTAAAGTTGCTTAAAGCACAACCAAAACACATACAACAGATAACATTAATATGCATGTCAGACTTTTAAAGATTTAGTTTTTAAAAAATAGCATGAAAATAAAATAAGATGTAAAGTTGCAGAAATGAAAAAGACTTTAAGGCACTTTTAGAATGCTGAAAAAGAAAAAAAAAGACAACTAGATGAAAAGGGATACCCCAAATCTTCTAGCAAAATCAAATCACAACTAGTAACAACCTTCTCTATCCGTCTCTCAGGGAGCTAGGGTTGGAATGGGCTATCTCCATGCAATCTGCTTTAGAGAAAGTACTAAAACACACACTTTGAAAAACAAAATGTAGACTCAACTTCACAAGATGTTGATATTTAGATGAAAAAACTATCCCACAGAGTATAAAAGTGTGACTAAACAATGTCAGAAACACACTTCCATTTACATGAAAAATGTCCAAATTTACAAGATTTACCTGTGTGAGTAGTATATGTTATAAATGTATTAGCAACTATTTTCCCTTGTTTTCCTTCAAAATCTTCATCTCCTTCTTCTTCAGATGAAGAGCTAACGTGTTCCTCAACAAGTTTTTTGGCTGCAGCTTGATTAGCCTTCTTGATTTCCTCAAATTTCTTCTGAGACATTAGCTCTGTTTAAAAGAAAAAACAGTTTCATTTCTGCAAACCAATATCCTCAAAAAGTACGGCATGATGTACTAATAATATCCTTTTTTTTCAGACCAATGAGCCTCCAGCTAATATGACTAAAAATTGTTTTTAAAGACACGTTTGAAAGTCACTTTTGGAACATTCCATTTTACTATAATTTGAGAGAAAAAAACTTTTAATTTCTTACCACACAACCAAAGAAAATAATACAACAAAAAACTGACTTTTGTTAAGTACCCTACTAAAGGCAGTAAACTGTTATAGAAGTAGACACTAACAAATCAAGGAAAAAATTATAAAGGTAGTTTTTTTTGGGGGTGTGGGGACTCACTGGGAGCACAACAGAATCACAGGGGTGCAAGCTTCTTCAAACCACTACCTCAGGCACCCAGTCTGACCCACCACAGTTTTCACAGACAATATTCATTGTTTATCTATTATATTTATTACCTGCTTCTTAGAAAGCTCAACAAATTTGGATCTGCAATGTGGACCCGACATTTTTGTGGTCATAAAATGCTCACATAAAATACCTGCTTCTGCATGTCACTGTTAACTGGGATTGGCATGTTCTTCCATCATTCTCCAAAAAGAATGTGAATTGAGTTTGGGTTAATTCTATTCTTTCTAACACTATCTGCACTTCTCATTTTGTTACTTAATTAAATAATAATGCAAAAGAATTGGGGTTTTTGTTTTGTTTTGTTTTTATGCAGCACATATTCCCGATGAGGCTCTGAACTTGAGGACAAAAATCCAGGAATTTTTTTTTCAGCTAATAAGCGCTTATAGATGGCAATGATATTTTAAGATTCACAAACTTGTTGAATTATCTGAATTGGTGCTCACATTTGAGAGGATTTTGAATTTACTAATTTAAACCACTAATTTCAAACTTACTTTATACTTGAAACTGATGAGCCACTATCAAAATAAGCTCTCTTCATTTAGGTGGTATACTTGTTCTTAATGACACTATCTTTTACTTCCCTCAGGAAATGTTCTTTTTCTCTTACTGAAGCCAATTTGACTGGTGATTATTAACCAAAACAGATTATTCCAAGTAAAACCAGGAGAAAATGTACAGAGTGCTTATTTAGGAATCCCTGGAACTGGGGAGAGGGGCAGTGACATACACATTATAAGGCTCAGAATGAGAAAGATGATGTCACTAATCTATGAAAAGGAGTACTTAAGGATGTGTAAGAAAAAAAAAAAAAAAAGGTTGAATTGGGGAGGTATACTAAAGACACTTATACTCTGATACACATATTTACCCAACATCATCTCAAGGGAAGTTACAGAGATGATAAAACAGTCTTCACAAATATTCTTACACTTAAATCTCAATTATTCGAGTAGAGAATGTTTGTTTTCCTTCTGGCCACAAAAAACCAAAAATGTAACCAATTTGTTCACAGGTTCCCAACCCCCACGGAATGCAACCCAATTTTAAATTAGCCTCAGAGAAAACCCACTCCAAAGCTGAGTTTTGCCTCTCTCCCCTCTGAAACATGTATTCCAAACACAAAATGACTAGCAATCATCCTCTTTTCTCCACGTACAACGGTGTAAGTGCTCTTGCCACTCCACCAAAACATGATCTTGGACAAAGTGTCCTGGCAAATCCAAGGTGACAAATGATACACCCAGAGAAGACAGGAAATCTGTGAACAGGAATTAGTCAAAAAAAGTGCCACCAACTGAAGTGGCTACAAGCTATAAAGCCAGCAGTCAATAAAATGAGGTAATCTCGCAAAGATGGTCGACCAATGATAACTGGTCTCAAATGCCAAACTAATGCAAGAAAGAGTACCCAACCCCTACGTATATGGTATTTCCTCAGCCTAGCCCACCTTGGCCATACACAGATGCTAAGGTACGAAATTTTTTAAGGTAAACAGTATTTTGGATTTATAAGAGAAGAGGCACACTGGCAACCAATTCAGATTTAAAGCACTGTGTTAACCAAACAAATCAGACCAGCTGGACACAATTTAAAACTTACGGTCTAGAGAGTCAGGTAGGGGAGGAAAAGTGGTGGGAAGAGTACTTGTCAGAGAAGTAACAAATACCAATTAAAATGAAGATGAAAGAGATGGGACGGGAATTTGGCTGAAAGGTTGGAGAAAGGGGCCCGATACTAAACTGCCTGAGGGGTGAACAAGTGAAAGACACGCAGCGAGCGCAGCCTGCCCGAGCTGGGAAACCGCATCTGGGGGGCGGGGGTACCCTTCTCACCACTGGCCCCCGAGGGGGGCGCTTCGCCTCCCGCCGAGCGTTGCCGGCGACCTGCAGCCTCCCAGGTGGCAGCTCCGCTGGGGCTGGTACCCACGCGCACCGAGCTCCCGGACCCCTTCTCTCGCCCTCCTCCGGCGCCGCGGAGAGGGGCTCCATTTCCAGAGGGGACTGCGGTGGCCCGTCCACGGGCACGGCCTCGGCCCCCGGCCACCTGGCGCCAGGAGGCGTCCATCCCTGCTGGGGAAAGATAAGGAGGGAAGGAGCGTGAGCGCGGCGTCGGGAGGCGGGGGGCGACGGCCCAGGGGACCGCGGGGTCGGGGCTGGGTGCAGCCGGACCCCGTGAGACGAAGACTGGTTTGAGCCGGTCGTGGCCCTGTGTCTCCGGAGGGCGAGTCCCTGCCGAGCCCCGACTTGGGAGATGGACTAAGGGGTAGAGAAGTAGAAGAGAGAAATGGACCGCGGGGCCAAGGAGAACCCGGCCCAGAGAGGACAAGCCGGGACCCCCGAGGGGCCTCCTCAGCCTCAGAGGGAAGTGCGGTGGGCAGAGAACCGTTGACTGACCTGCCCGCGGCCGCCGATAACCAACTGCAGGAGCGGACCGCACGGAAAGCTACGTCTCCTTACCGACGGCGCCCACCAGCAACAACTACAACTCCCAGAAGCCTCCTCCCGCAGCCCGCAGCCCGCAGCATGCGTGGCAGCGTGGGTCGCTTCCTTATCCGGATGAGGCAGGCGGGGGGGGGGGGGGGGGGGGGGGGGGGGTCTTAGCGCGCATGCGCTCACTGAGCTCGGGGGCCCCACCCTTTAGGAACTACATTTCCCAGTGTGCTTTGTGCTCGTGAGTGGTCAGCTCCCACACTGACGGGAGAATCAGGTGTTGTTCTTTACCTCACGTTAGCTCATACTTCCCTGTGACTACCGGAAGCCAAGGAGGTACCAGGATTTACTGTGTTAAGCGCCAGTAGTTCTTCCTCGTTCCTTAGCTCAAGTGGCTTGAAGATTCTCGCCCGGAAAGTACTTAAAATTTGTAAACACTTTGCTTTGTGGACGCCCGAGGTAAAAAGTGCCTTGAGTTGAGGATGCGCTCTTCTGAATTCACTGTGATGTAGGAAACCCAAACCCTGTTATTTTCGGAATCTCATAACAAAACGAGCTTTCTCCTGGAGAACGCTGATTTTTCCTTCAAGACTGCTCCTTTAAATAGATTTCATTAAGGAATATAACCAAGAGCCACGAGCTAAATCTTTTGACTGCTCTGAGTACAATAACATGTATGCGTAGTAGAAATTCATTTCGCGGTCTACCTGGGACTCACCAGTTAGTTTATTTAGGATCATACAGTACTTATGCTACCCATCAACTTAGTTATTCCCCAACATTTATCATAAGTATCAAATATCTACTATTTAGATGTCATTTATTAGTTATAGAGTACTGTAGAAAGTATTTACATGTGTGTGTGTGTGTATTGGCTGGGCTGGCCTTGAACTCAAGATCTGCCCTCCTGAGCCTTCCAGCCTTCCAAGTTGCTGGGATTACAGGCTGGCACCATCATGCCCACTATATTATCAGTTCCAGGTTTACCACTGAAAACAGGCATGGACTAATAAGTTGTTCTTAGTCCATAGCTAGGAAGTGCTGAGACTTAGCTTTAATCCTAGTCTATTTGGAATCATGCTTTGACTCTTTTACATGTGGCTATTGTGTCATGGCCTGTACATTATTCAAACTCAAATATGTCCCTGAGGATGGTGTAATAACCTCATTAGCTAAAAAATAAGAGGTATACAGCAACTCTTCCAACTACTACGTAATGAAATTTTAGTTTAAATTTACAACTGCCTTTAAAGGTTTAAACGGTCTAAAGTTAGACTTTGTGCAGTGAAGTTTCCACAATCAGAAAAGGAGTTGATAGTTATAATGCCCAGGGAATACAGAGTGGCTGCTCATGAGGGAGATCCTGATTAGAATCATGTTGTATACCAGAGATCTGGATAAGCATACTGTCGAAATCTCCATATCAAACCTTCCTAAAAACAAATTTCTTCCAGTCCTCTAAACATTTAATAGTGAAAAACTGTTCATTCAATGCTTTATACTAGCATTCTTCTAAATCTTTTTTCCTTTTACTTACCTGTTTAGCAACCCATGAAGAAAGTGTCATGGGTGAACCCAGTGCATGAGCAAATATTATATTGTTGTTATATAATACATAAAACGTATATAATCTAAATATCTTTTGTAGTTTTGCAGTGGAGAGCTGCTGTGTTTCATAACATAGGGGCACATGTGAGTAGAGGAAGAGGACACAGTTTCAAAAATTACCATGCTGTTATTTTTACTTTGAAATTCCAGGTAAAAGAAAAAAAAAGATTCTTCATATTTATCAAAAGGTTGTGGGTTTAGAGATTGAGAAATTTAATTGTGAACTTGTAATTAACCAACAAGAAGAGAGAAGGAGGAGGGGGAGGGGGAGGGGGAGGAGGAAGAAGAGGTAAGGAGGGGGAGGGAGAAAAGACAGTAGCCAGTGTTGACAAGGTTGTAGAGCAGCTGAGCTCTCATGCTTCCTGCTGGGAGTGGAGATCAGTTCAAACTCAAAAATTGTTGGCAGTATCTACTATAATTAAGCATAGCCTATTTCTAAAGCACTATAACCAAGAAACTCTACTTCATGGTTTATACCCAAAAGACAGGAGTGCATACATACCTACACACACACACACACACACACACACACACACACCACAAATTTTACTGGAGATGCAATAGCCCCAAACTAGAAACAATTGCTCTTAGTCTGTTTTCTGTTACTATAACAGAATACATGAGACTGCATTTGAATATTCTGGCAACAATAAATGCTTAGTACTCTTAAAAGAACAGAGATATATTTCTCACAGATTGGGAAGATGCCAATGTCTGGTGAGGGATTTCCTACTGTCATAGTATGGCAGATGGCATTGCATTGCTAAAGAACAAGCTAGGCAAGTGCTGAACCTACTTCTTATGAAGCCATTAATCACAGCATAGGACTCCACCCCTATGACCTCATCTAATCATAATTATCTCCCAAGGCTCCATCACCAAATACCATCAACTTACTGATTTAGATATTAAATGTACACATGAATTATGGGGAGCAAACTGAAATTATAGCATAACTCTGATGTTATTCACAGGAAAAGTAAACTATGATGTAGATATATGATACAGTGCTATATCAAAAATACTGATACATGTAGCATGATGAATGAATCACCAAAATATATTAAACACAGTGCTTCTCATTCCACTTTTATGAAATTCTTGAACAAGCACTTGAAGCCAGATTAATGCTTACCTCTGCTAGAACTGGAAAGACTAGAGCAGGAGAGCTGGCATAGCTGCTAAAGGCTCAGACTCACAACCAAAAAGAACTGGGAAGATGTGAATTGGGAAGATTAGGTATCCTGAGTGTGGAAATAGTCTGTCCTGATCTGGGTAGTAACTTCATAGATATAATAACTCATCAAATTTTATGTTTGTGGCTTGTGCAGTTTACTGTATGTGCATTATGCTATTTTAAAAATAATTCCAAAATAATTATAGAAAAATAAGATATCTGAATGTTTATTGTCCAGCCATTTGAAATTGCAATTTAATTGTACTTAGCTATTACCTATACATTGTCCTTATTTGGATTGGTTTTATCAGAGTATCTATATACACCTTCCCAAATTTATTTATCTTTTACATGTACATTTTTCCTTAAAAACTGGCAGTTGTGGAGACTTGCTATGGTACACTCTGTTTTTCCACACTTCCTTGTGCTCCACCATCTCAGCTCTAGGAACCTTGTGAGTCCCCAGATCTGGGAGTGTTCCCAGACCAGCAGTGATTAGTGCATCTTTCAATTCTGAGCAGAGAAGCTTCCTTAGGCAACAGATGGTGATTAACAGAGAGAACCACAACTGGCCAACGTGCAGAGAATAAGAGGCTGCAGACTGCCTATCTTGAATAGGACACCTGTATCAAACTTCTGCCTCCCAAGGATCAAAGATCATTGCAAAAGAGGGGTGAAAAAATTGTAAGAGCCAGAGGTGGTGAATGACTACAAGGAAACAAAATTTTCCAGACACCTAGGAAGTTATTCATATGAACGCACAGCAATGGTGAGCACAAGTCCCACATCATCTCAGGACAGACAAAATCCCAGCATAGATGTATATAATTGGTAAGAAACCCCAACCCTACCTGAGGAAATATTGGCAACTGATGGCTCCTGAGAAAGGAGAGTCAGCCTCTTTTAAGGGTGAGACTTCTTGGTAGGTTGCCCAAGCTCCAGTGGGTGAACCCATACCAAAGGGCATTTGGGGACACAAATTTGACTCTATAGGCCTTTATGTATATGTATATGTATATGTATATATATATATGTAGATATATATATATACATATATATGTACACAAAATTAGGTTGTGAGCCACCATGTGAGTGCTGGGACTCAAACTCTGGTCCTCTGCAAGAGTAGCCAGTGCACTTAACCACTGAGCCATTTCTCCAGTCCCATTTTACCAACTCTTAAAAAACAAAACAAAACAAAAAACTTCATAGCAAAAAAAAAAAAGCCAAACATCACATTTAATGTAATTTTTTCAACTATTCACCATACCTATCACGCAGTCAACATTGTCCGGAAATCTACTCAGATGGGAAGGAGTCACTGTAATAAAGTACCACAATAAGGTGATGATAGATAGGTCATGAAGATGCTGAGAACTGGGAAGTCTAAGGGAAGGGTAAGATTTGAACAGGATGGAAGAAGGCATTCCGAGTGGTAGGACAGCACGAGTGGTAGAGTCAGAAGCATGTTCCACCACAAGCTGCAGAGAAGTCTGGACTGAATGCTGTTAGATTAGGTGATGTAGGAACCTAAGGAGAGGTTTTGGTGGAGTGATAGCAAAGCTTATTTGTTTCTGATCCAAGAATGAATAGTAAAAGAGGAACTCTACAAGGCAAAAATACCAGAGAGTCTTACTATAAAGGGGAGCAAAGAAACGGGTTCAAACATTCTTTACTATTTGAGAATACTTGTGCCATTGCACACTAATGGAGACTGTCCTGCACAAGTAAAATATGATAATGCGTGGGAGAGGAATGGAGAGACCTGGTCAGAGCAAAGCTCTTGAGTCCAAGAGAGTAGAAGGAACTTGTGCATTAGTTGAAGATACATACTGTAGACAGGAACTTGTAGTGTCAGTCCATTGTAATAGACTTATTTCAGGCATTCCTCAGACCTGCCCCCATGCCAGATTCTGCACTCCAAAGTCCCTAATGTCTAATGCAGCAGTTTCTAATGGTCCCAAAATTTCTAATGTAATGCACTGGAGATCGCCTTCTGCTTATGGCCACCTGAGTGAACAGAATCAGATCTTCAGGTCTCCAGGGTCTTTTCTTAAAGCCATCCTTGGGGCATGAGACCATTAGAGACTAGAACTCCAAGTCTGGGATCCAGAATCTCCAGTTACTTGGTTGTTTCCTTTGAGCATCTACTAAACCTTTGAGGAGCTTCCCCAGAACCAAGGCATTTCATTCTCATGTCCTAGAATTAAAGCTTAGAAAAAATGTCTGCCTTCTTTCTTTTAAAAACAAAACCCCCCGAATTTACCTAGGCATTTATCCATATAGAATGCTGTACATATATCCTATAATAAAGAGTATATATTT